ATGGAACCTTGGAAGGATATCTTCGCGAAATGCAGAAACTGCATTCTGTCGTGAAATATCCGGATATTTGGTTGGACTGGATATGGATATCTGGATATGGATATCTGGATATGGATATATGGATATGGATATCCGGATATGACCACTGAGATATCTGGATATTGATATCCGGATATGCCCCGGACATATATCCGGATATTCTGGGATTTCGAGGAACAGTAAGGTACTGTTCATACAGAACTGAGCTATGGGTTTGTGGACCCTATTTTGATGGAGTTGAACTTCTGTCAATACCTAACTAAGTCAGAATCATGGGATTAAGGGCTTATGGCTTTATGGAAGCCTTAAGACGTAAAAAGAAAAACGTAGTCTTTATGTTTATGCTTATGAGCTATGAATATTGATATGCTTGCTGATCCAAAATCAGATTGTGATATGCTGTGTTTGGGTTTTGAGCTGTGTGGACTCTTGGCTATGGATTGTTAGCTTGCAAGGTAAGCTTTTGTGTCCTCGGTTTAGTCATTGTTGGTTCCACCATTTCCCATGCGGGGATGGTTTATATGCATGATGTGGTTTTCATGTATTGTTTATTGAAATGCTGTGGAGCTGTTAAGTGCAATCTCTTTTAATATGTATATGGTGTTACGCCTAGACAGGAGGCCAAGGGGTGATCCTGTAGGCGGGTTCAGCAAGGGCTGGTACTGTATGGGTAATAGACGTATTCCTACACTTTTCTCTGATCAGTAGAATTGTTTATAACACACATGATATGATTATCTGTTGCATTGCACTATTTTGGAACTTATATTGGATAAATGCTTTTGAACTTATATTTGCACATGTAAGTGAGCTTGGGGTGGAAGATCCTTGAGGACCCCTTGTCTTACTGAGATTTCTTGTTTAGAGATCTCACCCCACGTTTGGGGACACTTATTTCAGGTAACATGGGGCTGATGCCTCTGGCGGCAGAAGGCTGGAGCTTAGTTGATATATATTATGTTGTATGCTGACATGACTAGATTTGGATGTTGTTTATGTTTTCTGTCATTATTACGATATTTGAGTTGAGACTATTCTTGGGGCTATGTTGCCTTATTTGGTGAGCATGGGGATTGTTCATGCCACATTGGTTTGACTTTATGCTTTTAGGTTTCAGTTGTAATAATGTATCAGGATATTGTCCGGACTACGTGTTGTAGATCCGTGACTTTAGATACTCACTTTATTTATATATGAGGTATTTAGTTAGCTGTCTTGCAATTTACATGTAGGCAATGTTTTTATGAAAATGAATTAAGTAATTCAACTTGGTAATGATAATGACGTCATAATTGAAAAGAAAAAGATATTTTGCAAATTTTTAATTAAGCGTGGTTTAATACGATGACATGTTAACAAACCGTGTTAACACGGGGTGTTACAGTGATCACGAAAGAATGAAAAAAACATTCAATAAATTAAGGACACACAATGAAAAATACAAAAATAATTTCAAAAGTGATTCCTTGCCAAAGTAAATGAAATATATATATTAGTAGGGTTATATTAACAATTTTTTTTTTACAAACTAACTATGTCTGACCGGGAATACTCTACTCAAGAGTGTCTTACCTTCAGATATAGTTTAGTTTGTAAGAGTTTGTAAATAAATAGTTGTAAATATAACATTCCCTGATATATATATATATATATATATATATATATATATATATATATATATATATATATATGAGATAAGATCTTTTGACACCGGTGACAAATTTAAAGTTTGACACCTCATCTGAGAGCCGTTAGATCAAAAAAGATCAATGGAAGTGTCCTCCCCAGTACCACCTTTGGGAGGGGTTTAAAGCCTTAACCTGGATCCACCCCGAATCGGACTAGTCGCAAAACGATGAACCGATTGAAAAAAAAAAATCAATGGTATCACATGTTTACAAATCAGAGTCGTTGATATTTTTTGATCTAATGGCTCTCATATGAGGTGTCAAACTTTAAATTTGATCTCATCTGAGAGCCGTTAGATCAAAAAATAAACGACTCTGATTTGGAAGAATGTGACACCATTGACCATTTTTTATCTAACGGCTCTCAGATGATGTGTCAAATTTTAAATTTGACACTGGTGTCAAAGGATCCTATATATATATATATATATATATATATATATATATATATATAGAGAGAGAGAGAGAGAGAGAGAGAGAGAGATTTTGACTCTAGAGTAAGACTTATAAGTCTTATTATCAATCTTAACCATTGATTTTCACTCATGTAACGGTTGTAGTTTAGGAAGTCATATTGATTAATTATTAATCACACTACAATTGACAATCGTTAATTTCCGTCCATCAACAACTGTGATAGGGAGTAAGACTTAGAAGTCTCACTCTTGAGTCAAACGAACTCTCATATATATATATATATATATATATATATATATATATATATGAGATAATCCACACAAACACACACATTGTTACATTCATAATCTAAATATGCGTAAATTTGATTAAAATTAATTAATAAAAATATAATAAATAAACACATGCATGCAATGGTGGACCCATAAAATATTATTTATATCTGCACATTTAATGGTGGGGGAAATTTTTTTTTTTTAATTTTTTTTTTGAATGCATTAAAAAATAAAAGAAAAGAAAATTTCAACTTAACATAAAAAAAGTAATCAAGAGTCAACTAAGAGAAATTGAAATTAAGAGAAATTAACAATAACATAACCCATTATTTAAGGAAAAATGAATTAATAAATTCAATCACTTTCAAGATAATAGATTATATATATATATATATATATATATATATATATATATATATATATGAGATTAATATTTCTCCTACAACGGCAAATAAAATTATTTCTTGTAACATAATATTATTTTAGAATTACAAGAGATAACTTTATTTTATGTTGCAAGAGTAATGACAATTCTATATATAAAAGAGTGAAAAAATTAATTAGCGTCCAAATTGACTAGAGGTGGCAATATAGGTTGAACTCGGCGGGTCAACCTGCCAAAACGGGGCGGGTTGGATTACATTTTTCAACCCATCAACCTGCCTCAACCCGCCCCGTTGGGTTGTGGGTCAAAACGGGTTGGCGGCAGGTCGGGTTGGCCCGCTGGGTCAATTTTTTTTTTTTTACTATTAGGTAATGTTTTATTTGTTTTTAACTTTTGTGATATCCAATTTTTTGTTATCTTAGTACTCTCTAGAAAAAAATATAGAAGAAAACTTTATTTATGACAAAGGTAATTTATGTATGGAGATAAAAACAAGTTTGTAAAAAATATCTGACTGAATATTAGTATACATTTAGACTTACGATTAAAAAAAAACTAAGGGGAATGTGATATGAAAATAAGTAATATTATAATATTAATAAAATATAATCTATTTTTTATTTTTTATTTTTTAAACGGGTTGACCCGCCAACCCATCATAAAACGGGACGAGTTGAGGTTTCAACCTAAATTCAAGAGGCGGGACGGGCCAACCCACTTTTGACGAGTCGGGTTGGGTCGGGGCAGGCAACCCGTTTTGCCACTCTTAAAAAAGTGACAGCTAAATATTGAAACTCCTATACCAAAATAAAATAATGCTACTATGGCAGATGACTAATTTGTTCAAGAGGTGGTGTTCATGTTATACAAAAAAAAATGGGTAATGTTGGATACCATATTAAAAAAAAGGTAGTGTTTATGACTTAATGAGTTTTTTATTTTTATTTTTATTTTTTTTGGGGTGTCAATAAAGAATTTTTGCATCGTATTTAAATTATTCAATAATTTTTAAATTTTGACTATTGAAGGTATTTAATATTTTTCCATTACAAAAATAAAATAGAGACGTAAGCTCTCACATTTTTGGTATTAGATATATAAATATGGAGGCTTGAGTGATTATGTTGCATCTATTTGGTTGGATAAGGACGCCCACAATTATGCAAACATTAGAGGATGGCGATAGATTTTAAGATTTGAAGACCAAAACTTGTATGATAGCTGGCTCATTCATACTCGTACCATATGGTAAATAATGGAATCGATCATTATAAATTTAGAATAGATGCTGTCATTACTACAAGTCTACAAGTGGGGTAGATCGGCCGACTGCATAAGTAAACGAGTTTGATTGAACTATGTGTGGAAACACATATCTCACTCTTAGAATGAAAACAGTCACTTATGATTGGACGGTCATGATGTCATCATTCCACACATCACTTCACTTCACATCATTCATTCACTCCCCTAATACCTTCAAAAAGGAGTGTTATTTTCACATTACATATTAACATTATTAAGTTAACATTTTTCAAATGTTAAGGAAATTCGAGTTAAAATACATTTATAATCTCAAGGTCTCGAGCATCTATGGACTATAAATGTATTATTAGAAGGATTGACATTAAGTGGAGAGAATTCTGTCAAGTTGAATGAAATGTTTTTGGCGTGTGCATATATTAGCTTCTATTTTTCTGACTATACAAATACAAAATTTATCTCACATAATTTTCATATACCTTTTATGTTTGAATATGTTAATCCTGCTATAACATACTTTACATGTACAACGAAGATAAATATTTCTAAACATCATTTTTTAATGTTTGGATCAAAATGTGGTCCCCACTTGCATCTATCTCTTTAGATCAAGCCGTGCAAGCGGAATCATGAGATTCCTTTCTACACCCATTACAGTAGACATGATAACACCTCATCAAAACACCACCATCCATCCATTCATGACTCGCGAGAAAAACAACCATCTCTTTCTCGTCGATTTCACTCAAAGTTTCAATGGATAAGATCACAATATCACACCGCAAATCCAACGGCTTTAACTCGCCTATTGCCACGTGTCTCCGCCATGATCGCCAATCACATTCTCTTCACAAAAAAACCCCCACACCACACCACCTATTTAACTATAGTTAATTTGTAACCTCATAGGGTACAACACAGACTCATTATCTCTCTCTCTCTCTGCGTGTATCTGGCAACCAACTACAACTACAAGCTCATCAATGGCGTCTCAGATCTAAGAGTTTCACTTTGAAACTGTGAGTGTGAAGCTTTGTGCGATATTCATCGAGGAAACGATACCGTCTCGTTGCTTCCACATGCAGAGACTGAGAGTAGCGTACTCGTTCCCTGAGGAGGTCCTCGAGCACGTGTTCTCATTCATTCACTGCGACAAGGACCGTGGCTCGATCTCGCTGGTGTGCAAGTCGTGGTACGAGATCGAGAGATGGTGCAGGCGGAGGGTGTTCGTCGGAAACTGCTACGCCGTGAGTCCGGCGAAGGTGATAAAGCGGTTTCCGGAGGTGAGATCCATCTCCCTGAAGGGGAAGCCGCACTTCGCGGACTTCAATTTGGTTCCCGAAGGTTGGGGCGGTTACGTTTGCCCTTGGATCAAGGCCATGGCCGTTGCATATCCCTGGCTTCAAGAGATCAAACTCAAGAGGATGGTCATCACCGACGACAACTTGGACCTCATCGCTAAATCCTTCAAGAACTTCGAGGTACTCGTGCTCACATCATGTGAGGGTTTCACTACCGATGGACTTGCTGCCATTGCCGCCAATTGCAGGTTTTCCATTTTGTTTAGTTTTATTGATTTATTTATTTATTTCGTTCCTCTACATCTTCACATTTGGCTTATTTATTCTCCTTTTTTTGAAACCGCAAAGTGAAATGAAGTCAATTTTTTGGAACACGTTGACTATTAACACGCTTGGATATCTCCAAACATTGGCTTATTTATTCTCCTTTGATAAAGGTAAATTATTATTAACAATTTTTTTTTGCTTTCAAATTGTTTTAAATATTAAATATACTTAGACCATGTATTAATTATTTTATTAACTATTTTACAAATTTAATTATCGACGAAAATTAATATATTTTTCACACATGCACACACCTCGGAATTTATTTATTTTTTATAAAAATGAAAGTTAAAGAAATTACGGAGGACAATTAATGTGATTATTTTTTTTACATTATGTTATTAATTGGCTTTCGAAACTATATTTACGAGAATATATGGAGAATCTCTCATCCCTTATAAAAATTAAATGGTAATAATAGAATAATCGAAAATTGGGTAATAATAACAGATTTTTTTATTAGCATTAACTCGCTTAATAAAATAACGAGTTTGCCTTGAATTGTGACATGCTATAACGTCTTATTTTATTTATTCATTTATTTTTTTAACTCTTCAACATGAACAGGCTAGTTTACTTTTTTCAATGAACGCGAGAAGGTTTTTGCAGTTCAATAGGACGGCTTAAGATATTCTTAACAGTTGTTTTCATCGGACTTTGACAGTGACTAAATTCAAATCCTTCTTTCTAACCAACTTGTGCACGGTAAAATCTCCCTTTCAGAAATAGTGTCAAAGCAGAACATTCTTCGACATGCAACCTTGCCTGAGAAGGGGGAAAAAAGAAAAAAAGAAGAAGATATAAACCTTCTGTATAACCTTGGAACCAGTCGAAAACCTGAAATGATAGCACAAATCTCTATTATAATGAATGAAGTAGTCTTACTCAAAAGTTTAAATACTTTTTATTTTATTCGAATGCTGTACGTTAAAAGTTATAAAAATAAAATGTAAAATTTCTTCTCTCTATCCTCATCATTTTTCTCTTACGAATTGTCAAGACCTCCTAAACTTATTTTCTCACCGTTGAAAATGTTGCATCTTTTTTAGCTAAAAAATAAGGGATAAGTTATTTTAGAGAAGATAGATAAGTAAGCTATCGGGTGGTGGAGCCAGCAAAATATGTTAGTCAATGCAAAAAATCTTAGCTGGTGCTAAAATAGCTAAAATAGCTACGGTTATATAGCTACGTTCAAAAATTGGTTAATTTTTAAAATATTTGAAATATGATTTGTTACATTAATTTAGCTACGTTTAAACGTGGCTAATTAGCCAATGCCAAAGTACTTTTCTTGCATCAACATGACTCCGTGACTGAAGGTACCCATAAAAATAAATAAATATTGTTATAAATTGGATCCATATCTCACTAATTTATGCAATAAAGGAAGACCTATCCAAAAAATATCCTAGATAACAAATGATCAAAAAATCACACTCATGTTAGGACTTTAAACACAATAACCTACTTAGAAAATTTTATTTATGCTTGGACACTTATTGTCAGGAGTTCGTCCTCGAAAATTTTTTCTAAAAAAAGTTTTAAATGCATTGAAGCGGGTAGAAACTATTTTGGGAAAAGAGTTGCAAGATATGGCTTTCATTCACAGTTTGTGAATGAATGAACAGGGAAAATAATATAGGCTTTATATTCAATGTGACCACCCGTTATTCATTCACACAAAGCTAATAAAGACAAAGTTGTCCTGTGACCACGTGACCACCCATTATTCATTCACAGAAAGTTGAACAATTTTTTCATTCTCTGCCTATACTATTTTTCCTGTTTTATTCATTCACATATCACCCAAAGTTTTAAATGCAATTTTCTTGTAATGACAAATAAAATAAAATAAACTTATGTCTACACTTTTGGGGTCAGTGGCAACTAAGTAGGTCCGTCATTGCCTACAGATAATCCCTTTTATAAATAAAAGGTTGAATTGTACACATTTTTTAACCTAATATTTTTGCCGCCAACACTGAACGTACACATCCATAATTCCACTATAAACCTATTGCTTAAATTATAAACCTATTGCTTTAACGTATTAATCGATATATTGACCTTGAGTTAATCAAATATTAATCGATATATTGACTTTGAGTTAATCAAATATTTTTTTCATAAATATCTCTAAACTCATTTTTACACGGCAAACAAACACAATATTCTATCCGATAAATAAAGAAAGGGTAATACAATTATTATGTAACAAGAAAAGAATGTCACTTTCCTGCTGACACATTCATAGGTGGGTCTCCAAGAAAGTTTTTTTCTCACCTCATTTTCTCTTCTCTCTCCTGATCTTTTCTCAGTGTGCAGGAAGCAACACTATTTTCCTATTACATGATAATTGTATTACCCATAAAGGAAACTACAAACTCGTTGATGTATTTTGTTGGAGTTTTAACTTTTAAGTAAGAAGTTTTACAGCGGGTGAAAGCCCAAATGTAAAATGGTATAGGAGCAAGGTTTTGAAAATGGAAGATTTAAAAATTAGGGGTGTTCGCGGTCTGGATTGGATCGATTTTGGAAGCAAAATTCATCCGATTCAATCCCTTCGGTTTGATCACGTAATCATCCATTCGGTTTAGATTTTTTTCAAATCCGATCCGATCCAATCCAATTTTTTTCGGTTTGGATTGGATCGATTTTCGCTTTTTTGAATATCCTAAAATCAGTTATTGTGCAAATAACATCTTTTGTATATATTGTCTTTGTAAATTATTATTTTTTGAAATACAAAAATATCAGTAAACAATACTATAGTTGATGAGACGTGACTAATTTTTTTTTTGGGTTTAATTGATGAGTTAATGAGTCTTGGATTTAGAAATTTTTGGTCTATGATTGGGGAAATGACTAAGTAGGTAGAGGAGAATTAATATAATGGATCGGTTTGGATTGGATCGGTTTTCATCAACCCATCCGAAAACCGATCTAATCCAATTAAAATTTGCGTTTTCGATTTTCGATTTATTCAGTTATCGATTTTTCGGTCGGTTTTCGCGGTTTGAATCGGTTTGGATCGGTTGATAAACACCCCTATTAAAAATGGAATATTGAAAAAAAGAGAGGACTGGTAACTGTACTGGTAAATGGCCTCAGGTGTGGTGACATGTGCTTTTCATTCAATGTTTATCGGGGAAAGAGATTAGCAGAGCCTCGACTGGTGAGCAACGTGATAGATTCGGATTCGGTCACATTGGATGGTGTCCACTGCTTTTTTCTGCTTTCAAGCTCTATTTTCTAGATGCGGTGAGTGACACGTTTGGATAAAAAAATTACCAGACTGTCACGTCAACAGTAAATTTTGTCAAAATATCGTGTAGCGAACTATTCTGATATTTAAATTCGATAGAGATGAAATTAGAACATTGGATCTTTTTTTTTTATCTGAAATTACTTGCTTTTCATGCAAGTAATTCGATACACAATGTAGTGAATTTCTCAAAATTTTACATGTGACATTTTTGATTTTGACGTGACATATTTCGCTATATTATGTAGCGAATTACTTGCATGCATAATTCGCTACACTATCGAATTATGCTGCGTAGTATTTTGGCAAAATTTACTGTTAACGTGATAGTTTAGTAATTTTTTTATTCAAAAATGACAAAATGGTCACTGTTCGTTTCTACCACACACCCACCGCCTGATACGTAGGCAAGTGAGAGTCAGTGACTGACTAAAGAAATTACACTCTTCTATTCTCCAAACACATATCACGCATTAATGCATACTATTATGTAAAATTTAACTAAGAAAATTTCATTATGCAAAGACATAAGACTTTCAAAAATTTGAAACTTAATTAATCTAAAGTTTTAACTTTTCTTATCATAAAAAATTGAGTAAATATTATTTTGGGTCCATAACAAAAAATACGGTCCTCACTTTAGTCCTTTACAAAAATAAATTAGTCAGTTAGTCTCTAACAAATTCAAAGTGGACCCATTTTAATCCTTTTGAGGGACTAATATGAATTTTTTTTGAATTTGTGAGGGATCACGATTTCAACTAAATGGGTCCACTTTGAATTTGTTAGGGACTAACTGAATAATTTATTTTTGTAAGGGACTAAAGTTGAGACCTTGTTTTTTTTTAGGGACCAAAAATAGTATTTATTCTAAAAAATTTAGAGTAAATATCCTTTTTGGTCCTCAGCAAATTTCACGACGCCCGTTTTAGTCTCTAGCAAATAAAAAGACCCATCGTGGTCCTTAAGAAATTCAAAATGGACCAATTTAGTTGAAATTGTGGTCTCTCACAAATTCAAAAAAGACCCATATTAGTTCCTAAAAGGACTAAAATGGGTCCATTTTGAATTTCTTAGGGACCACGGTGGGCCTTTTTAATTGCCAGGAACTAAAGCGGGCATCATAAAATTTGTAAATGACCAAAAAGAGTATTTACTCTTAAATTTATACATGCATGAGACTAACAATAAGCACTGTTTACAAAATCAATTTTTAATAATTTTTGTTTTAAAAAAACGAACCGTGAAAGTTCCTAAGCTCGTACTATCAAATTCATCCTTATTCAAACTCTCTTTTATATAGTAACTAGTATATTATCCATGCGATGAGTCATTAAAACAGGTGAGTCATTCCATTTCAAAATTCAAAATTTTACACCACAACTTAATTGAATAAAAAAATAATTTTCCGTTTTTTTCGTATTTTAAAATATTTAAAATATTTAATAATTCCAATGTAAAAATAGCTGAGTCATTAAAACAGGTGAGTGATTCTATTTCAAAATTCAAAATTTTAAATCAGCTGACTCATTAAATTAGATGATCAATTCTAATGTGAAGGTAAGTGGCGCATTAAATGCTTTGTATGCCACCATATTTGTTTTAAATTATTAGAAATTAAAATTGATTTTCGATTTTTAAAAGAAAAATCTTTTTTCAATTTACCCAAAAAAGAAAGTTTGCAGGTGCCATGTAATGTGAAAGGAAAACTCAGAATTCACCAGAAAGAGACACATGGCAAAACTTTCCAACAAATGGGTTTCCTTTATATATATACTAGTGAATTACCCGTGCGATGCCCGGGAGAAAAAGAACAAAAATGTTGTCGGTCGTCGTTGGTTAATCATCGCCTCGGGTAAATTAACACCTTCATCGTAGCGTGAAGCTTTGAATTTTAATATGCTAGAGATATAAACATAAAATTATAAATATAAAGGAACAAAAAACACAAAAAAAACATACCTGTTTTGAAATGGAAATAAATTATCGTGCTATTTTGTGGTACTTTTGAACTTGAAAAAAACTACCGCATTTCCAGAACTTTGAAAATAACAACTTGCCAAATTCTTGAATGAAGTAAGAAGGCGACATAATCCAGGACAATGCACAACAGTCAATGCGGCCAACAAAATTCCAACTGTTTTTTTTTCTATCTTGCTTTCCTTGGGCAAAGAGGACACGTCTAACACCCTACAAAGACAAAAAAAACCATAAATTATTTGGGATGAACACTATTTGAGAATAGAAATTTTAAATGAATATAGCAACCAATGAATAAAAAATTAAAATTATAGGTCGCATTAAACAAACTGGTCAAACATTTGGGATTATTTATATACTGGTCATTCAATATAAGACACTTTATTTTAAGATGCAGAAGAAATAGAATGAAATAAATCTTGTCTTACAGTGGACACAAAGAACTACACTAATCTCTGAAATAGTTCCTTGTAGACGATGTTAAAGGTGTTGTCTGTAACACAATCATTATCATCAAGTATCAATATCTTCAATCTCTGTTTGCTTTTTACTCTCGATAGTGCCATATATAATTGCCCTTGAGTGAAGACAGGCCTAGTGAATTACCTATGCGATGCCCGGAAAAAAAAATGAAATTGTTGTCGCCGTCGTTGCGTCTAGATTACAATC